CACTGCTGTGGCTTTGCTGTGTGGAAGAAAGGGCAGGGAATGGCTTCCGTGCACCACTCTCCCTTGCTGGATGCCAGCGACGGTGCTGTGGAATAAAATGCGACTCATCGCTGCGGCTTGCAGCCTATCCAGGGAGCTGTCCCCGCAGGCTTCCTCCATGGGCAGGGCATTGCTCAAACGGCCCTTTGAGGACCCTTCCAAGTCGTTGAGTCTGCAAAGCAAAAGCACCACCGGAAACCGCCTGGGCCCCACGCCCATGGGGCAGAGCCGCTTCCCGCCAGAGGCTGGGGTTGGCCGCCTGCAGGCTGCCATCTTAATCTGGCCCAAGATGGCCACCCGTGGCCCCTGACCTCCCGAATTGCATGTGGTTAACACCGGTCTTTCTCACGGCATTATTCTTTCGGACAAGAGGCAGAAAGCTTCTTCATCAGAAGACGAGTGGGGAGAATCTTGCGCAGAGTCGCACAGGAGTAGCTGCTTTGCCTCTCCCACTGGTTCTGCTCACAGCAAGGAAAGACAAAAGCAAACAGGTTGCTAGGCAGCTACTTGTGTGGTTGTTGCAGAGCACAAATAAATGAGCGTTTTTCTTAGAGCAGCAGCAGCAGCAACCCAAGCCCTGCATGTGAATGACGGAGGTCCCTCTGAAGGCCGCCTGGGGCAAGGCTTCTGCGCCTGGAAGAGTCACGTGGGAGGCAGGATTCTTCCACCTTGCGGCTCGTGGTTGCTGCTCTTGTGGGTGGCTTCCAGTGGGAGCCGTCTCCCTGTGCCAGTGACGTTGTGCCAGGTTCAGCCATGGCTCGTGCAAGGGAAAAGCTGGGCTCGCTCTTTACAAGGGGGCCTCCCTGCCCAGAGCTGCCCACCTGTGCTCCACATGGGCCCTGGATCCTCTGGCCGTAGCTCTGGAATTGGTGGGGCTTGGACAGAAGACCCGGGCTCAGCCTGGGCCATTTTGCAGCTCTGCTGCCCCCTTCCAGTGGGGAGAAGACACAGGCCACGTGGGGCCAGGTACCCTTCCGGGGGGAGTGGGAAGCTTCGGCACGCCCCCCCCATCCCCATCCTCTGGACAGCTCACTCTCACACCCAGCAGCTTTGCATGGTCCTCTTCAGTTTGATTCTCACGGACAAGGGAGGAAAGGCGGAGAAGAGAGAGGCCAGGGATAAAGGGGGGCAAAGAAAGCAGGGGAAAGAAATGAGGGAGTTGTTTCTTGGATTGTGTGGTGTGAGATGTTCTAATCGCTACTGGCACCACTCTTTTATTTCACACGCAGTTTGAGAAAACGGTGCCAAACGGTTTGCCTTTCGCCCTCTTGTTGTTATTCCATGCAAAACCCCCCCTCGCAGGCTTTGAGAGCCGGGAGGTCTTGAGCACAAGTGTCACTGCCCGGGTGGGTGGTTTTGGACCTTGAGTTTCGCAAGATTCTGCCTTTTGTCGGCAGTGTAGCATGCAGGCCATTTCCGTCGTTCTTCTGCCAGGTCCCAGCCACAGGGTGCATGGCCACCAGCTCATGTAAATCTTTCCTGAGGGCATTGTCCTGGGCATGTTCGACAGGGAAAAAGCCCTACAAGTCCCAGGAGGCTCCAGCCAGCGGGGGGGCGGGGGGCATGCAAGGGCGTGTGGAACTTTTCACTGCCTAAACATGCACCGGAATGCACCCACGGCGATTGGACTGGGACCGGGTGGTGTGCAGCTCCCATCGGCTCTGCTGGCTAGTTGCAGCCCAACAACATCCGTGATCTAAGGCCATGCTGATTTTAAGTTCTGCCTGGAAGGAGCCAGGATTTGACCTTTCCATGGAAGACCCAGAACCTTATCATGGGAAAGGGGAGGAGTGGTAGCTTGAGCTGGGATGAAATGTATAGGGTGGAGATCCATAGGCATAATCTACGTTCCCCAGTCAGTGAGTGGCTGTGAGGGGCGCAGGGTCCTAGCAGGCTTTTGGTCAGCAGAACTGCCCCCCTCTGCCCACCAGGCACCTTCATCTGTGCCCAACTAGTGCTGGAAGCGTGAAGTTGTAAGGTTAGGAGAGACCCTTCTTGAAATGAAGCTAATTTTCATTCAGAGGTGCACTCAGGCACAGTATTTATTATATTTATTCATTTATTCCACTTCTATTCTGCTGTACTAGTCCAAAGACTCTCTAAGCAGATTACAATATTACATAAAATAACAATAATAAAAATAGCCTACAATAAAACAGAGAAATTAACCGTTGCAATTATTGACCTTTCGTGTCTTGGAAATACTGTCCCTAATTTGTTTAGTTTATCAAAAATATGCCCAAGATGGAGCCATTCAGGAATAGCTGTTTCCTCTGTAACCCCCCATGCACTTCAAAATGCCACTCTCGAGTCTATTCAAATAGCTACTGGACTATTTGAGAACAGACAAGCAGTAAACAGCAAAATTCAGATTTGGTCCAAGCAAAATTGTACAGCTGTGCCAGAAAACAGGTGCCCCTCGCATCTGAAGAGTGTCAACTTTTTCCTTTTGCAAAGGACTTGAGTCGCAAGAGGTCACAAATATACATTGAAGTACAGATTGGAGGCGCGAGAGATCCAGGTTCTACTCTTCTCTTGGCCTGGAAACTCACTGGGTAATTCTAGGTCAGTTACTCAGTCTCTGAGTGAGTAACCTACCTGAGAGGGTTGTTGTTTTGATGATGAAAAAGGATTGGAGGAGGACTTGTAAGGAGCCCCTGGAGCACCTTGGAAGAGGGGAAAAGGAGGGATTTAAATGCAGTGTGACAGTAATAATATACGCTCCCCCCTTGTTCTAGAGGACTCCCCTGAGCACTGCTCTCGGTGCGGGAACAGGCTGTAGCTCAGCGGCAAAGAGCTGGGAAGGCATTTGGCCAAAGCCAGAAGTGGACCACCGGCTGCCTTCCAGATGCTTTGCCCTTCAGCTGCCATTGGGGCCATGCAGGCTGTGGGTGATGGGAGCTGTGTTCCCACACCTCTGAAGTGCACTAGGTTGCCCACCCCTGTTCCAGAGCGCTGTTGCCACTGAACTTGTATTCTGAGCTGTGTGGCCAAAATCAGTTCCCAGCATTTCTTCCAGGGATTTTTGCTCCATCACCGTTCTCATAGCATACACGAGGGATCCACAGCCTTGGACGCCATTGCAAGGGCTGGAACGGCGCAGCAACACACTAATGCCCTCACCAGCTGGCTGTTGGCAAGGCGCCTTGGCTGGTCCAGAAGCCGGCAGGCCACGCACCCTTTGCCCAGTTACCAGCACCCAACGATTGTCAGTTGTGTGCAGGGCTTGAGAGCCGGCTTGGCCCTGAAACCAAAATCCACAATGAGTTAACAATAGCGATTTGGCTCTGGGCACTGAGCTCAGTATCATGGCGCCTGGGCAGAGGTGGCGTTAGCCCCCTCTGACCTTTTCGTTCCCGCTCTGTGAGTGCCGGAGGGTGGGAGTTCAGAGAACGCTTTCCTTGGAATTACAGGCAACATGCTGTGAGGAGGGGGGTGTGGGAGCCCCATGAGAAGTCTCATCCTGTTAAAGCCGCATTTTGGAGCCCCCAGAGGCCCAGTCTCCAGCATGCGATGCTGACTTTAGCTCAGCTTGCACTGACTGCAAATGAATGATTTTGAACTGCACTAAAAACTACTGGGAGAAAGAAAGAATTGCCGTTCCTCCTTCCAAAACTTGCCTCTCAGCAGTCATTGGGTAAAGTCTGTAGAACTGAGTGGAGCGTGTAGTCCCCCATGAGGCGGGGGGAGACGTGAGCAAACTAGCACTGCCTGCATGTTTCAAAGACTGCAGGTGCGCCTCTCAAATGCATCCGTGTCACACCGACCCGCTCCTTGTCGCCACCTCCAAGCCACGATGGTTATGCGTAACCCCCCTCTGCAGCTTGCCTCTCTCTCATTCGTCTCCTCCTCTTCAGGGCTTCACAAGAAGCGTTTTGGTGCAAGGGGTGAGACTTGAATGCTTGCCCGTGCTTTGCATTGCCCCGTTGGATGCAATCCTATGCATGCTTAGTCCCAAAAAGGTCCTACAACTCCCAGCATGCCGGGATTTTTCTCTCCCTAAATATGCATAGAATTGTGGCCTTGGGGATCTCTGCACTGGCCCCTCCAAACAGGGCTGCCAGCCGTTTAAGTTTAAAGCAACAGTGACACCCAGTGACTAGAATGGGCTCATCCTCTCCACAAGCCTGGACACAGCAAAACATCTATGCCTACTTCCTGGGCGATTTTGATTTTCTCCCCACCTTCAGAAGCTCTCCTGCCATTTTTAATTTTCTGTAAGCTTTTATGCTGTTTATGGAAAGGGAATAAGATGCACGCAGTCTGAAGGTGCAGTATAGGTTTCCCTTTTCCTCCCTGTCCAACTGGTCCTGTCTTCATTTCTGCCCATACATGGACTTTCAGGATTTGTCTTCTGTGTCAGAAGTCAGTCCAAGACCTTCAGCATTCTCCTGTCTTCATTTCAAACATTTGCCATGGAAGTGCAGACTGTATAAATAGGGTGGATTACATAAAATCTCTCTCTCTCTCTCTGCAAACCATCCAACAGCTATGCCAAGTTTCTGGACTGCATGTTATGTTTACCAGCTGTGCCATGTATTAGCAGCACTCAAAGGCCAGAGGCAGGAGCAGGAATTGGGTTGTATGTGGTGCTGCTGACAAAAGCAGTCCTTGGCTTTCATACTGCAGAACAATAAGCTGGATCTAGAATTAAGCTGGGGGAAATGAACTTACCTGCCTCCTCCTTCCCACACCAATTGTTTCCAGGCTTAATTTAAACTGCTGTGATCTTGGAATCCATATGCAGAAATTCTTTTAGCGATTGTGATTTAGCATGCTCTTTCAGTACTGTGGTGCTATATACCTTTTCATGCCAGCATTCTGAATTAGGCAGGGAGGAGAGATAAACTAGGAGGGATTTGCAAATGATTAGCAGATAACCTCTCTCTCTCCTCCATTTTTTTCCCACTGCTTTCCTTTATTCACCTCTTTTCCACCTCCCACCCTGCTACCCGCTTTAGGTCCCGAAAACTTTAGTTCCAAAAGTCTTGCACTGCAAGCCCAGAAAAAGATCTTGAGCAAAATGGCCACCAAGACAGTAGCTAATATGCTCATTGACGATACCAGCAGCGAAATCTTCGACGAGTTGTACAAAGTGACGATAGAACACCTGAAGAACAAAAAAGAGGCACACAAAATTATGAAGGACTTGATCAAAGTAGCCATCAAGATCGGGATCCTCTACCGAAACAATCAGTTCAATGCCGAAGAGCTGGAAATTGTCGAAAAGTTCCGCAAGAAGCTGAACCAAGCGGCTATGACTATCGTCAGTTTTTATGAGGTGGAGTACACGTTTGATAAAAATGTTCTGTCGGGACTCCTGAATGAATGCAAAGATCTTGTGCATGAACTAGTAGAACGGCACCTGACGGCCAGGTCTCATGCACGAATCAATCACGTCTTCAACCATTTTGCAAATATGGAGTTCCTCGCTGCACTCTATAGCATCGACGGAGAATGCCGGCCTCACCTCAAAAAAATCTGTGATGGAATCAACAAACTTCTTGATGAGAAAATCCTTTGAAACTTGTCTTTTTCCAGCAGCAGTGGCAGCAGCAGCAAACTCCATTCAGAGATGCAGAGTTGGAACAGAAACAACAGAGTCAGCTTCTTTTGTATAACTCCAAAGCAAACCATCTTCATTCTAGCCCACTTTCCATTCAGTTTGCAATGAAGAACAAAACAGAAGCAAGACATGCTGGGGCCTACAAACAGAGCGAACATTTTAAGAATGCAGGGCCATTCAGGATGCAAAAACGATTCCAGGCCGTGGTCTCATTGTTGCCGTGTTGTGGTTAGGGTTCGATGTCGCAAAAATAAAGCGAAAGAGCTGTGTCACGGGGCAAACAAAAACGCCCACCTTTACACTGCACAAGAACAGATCAATCAAGCGAAGATGCCAAGCAGCCTCTTACCATCGCTTAACCATCACCAACCTCCTGTCCGGCAAACTGATCCAATTCGGAAAAGAAGAATTTCATTCACTAGGAACAAGAGCAGTGCTCAACAGAAGCAGAAAACAAAATTATTTTTAAGGTGTTCCATTTCCACGAAGAGCAGTCATATTGGAGACTGGCTCAACCGTCCCTAATAGGGAAGTTATGGAGAGGTTGCGTAAAGTGGTTTGCCACTGTCCTCGGTGGCTGTTGGCCAATTTGCCTCTTTGTTTCAGTGGATAATGTAATTTGCAGGGAGAGCAAGAGAGCTGCCCTTTGCCAAATTGGACCGATACAAAGAGGCGTTAGCCATTTCACATGCAACGCTAAACCATGGTTAATTGTTGTGTGAATGTGGAGGCATAAGCCTCGGGCTCGGAGGTCTTCCCATCTCCACTAGTGCAGTTACGAGGAGATTGATTCCTGGTGTTTGCTAACCAATTTCTCTTTGGCCATGTTCACACAGAAGGGCAAGCCGAGTATTCTAGCAAATCTTGGCTTAGCATACACACAGGCGATTCACTCGTGCTTAGCTTTTCCACTGGTGCAGGTGGCTAAATTAGGAAACAGAAAGCTTACTGAGATACCCAAACTTGGCCAGCCAGGTACTTGCCCTTCCCAAACTCAGATTGTAAATCAGGGTTTGTTCATTCTCCAGCCAGCTAAAAATCCTGGCTTGGTTGGGACTATCAAATCAAAATACCAGAATTTGGATGTCACAGCTGTAGGCTGTGGGCACCTCCTGCTCTGTGGACAAAGGCGGGCTCCCCTCTTGTCTGGCGCAGCCAAAGAGCCGGCGCAGCAGCGAGGATGGGCAAAGGACACCCTGGAGCAGCAGCACCTACTGGCGAGCGGCTGCTGGCAGTGGAAGAGCAGGGCAAGGCAGGGCCCGGGCTCCAAGCCCTTGCTGGCTCACGTGCCTGTGGAAATCCGCCAGCCATCCCTGTGTCCCTGCTTGTCATGCGGCTGCTGGGCAGGCTGGGTGGAGACACTGCTTAGGTCGCAGGGCTTCATGGCGTCAGCAGCAAAGAGGGTTAAACCGGGTGCTTAGCCAGCCCCCCTTCGTTCGGACACTGACCTCTCTCGGGCAGCTTCGCTGACCATCAGTTCCCGCTGACTGAAGCCTGCCTTGCAGTCCAGCACACGCTGTGCATTGCAAATGACTTGCTGCTAAACTCTTTTGAAAGCTAGCAAACTTGCATTTTGTGCACAACAAAGAGCTTTCCTCGTAAGCCAATCTAGACTTGGCATATTGCTTTCCCTGGGATTCGAAAAGACCTTGAGCTCATGGCAGGGCGTTGCAACAGCAAGCGTTCCATTGCTGCCACTTGGTGCCAGGCACCTTTCTTGCTGCCCACCAAGACCACTCTGGGCATGTCTGTGATAAGCGCTGCACATTTCTGTTGCCACAACAAATTGCCGTGTGTCTTGGGGCTCAGATCCCACTCTCGTCCTCCATCTTTTAGGCCATTTAGTTACTTATCTTCTGTGACTAACAACTCTCTCATAACAGCCATTTGGTGGTGTTCAAGGAAAGTTCTCAAATTGCCAGATACACTCACAGGCCCAAAGAAGTTCTCTGCCGAGGTTTAGGCGCTCACCCCGGTAGGCATCAACTGGCTGCATGTACCAGCACATTACAGGAAAGCCAGGATGCGCCAGAAATCCTGGCTTGCAGTTCTGTGTAAACACAACCATACAGGACAAACTGTTGTTTGAATTTAAGCCATGGTTTATTGGGAAGCCAGGATAAACCATGGGTCTAACCAGGCTTGAGTAAACCATGGTTAAACTCACCGGAATTTGTCCTTTTCAGAAATAAACAGTAAGTAACACATAGTCAAAAATAAGAAATGAATTCTTCTAATCTCCTTGCAGCTACACTGGAGGGGCAGGGTGATCTCCATGGAGAAAATGTGCCAGTATCAGTTACTTTGCCTTGCACAATTTCTTCCGATAAGCCAGCACTGGCAGAAGAAATACAAGGGGAGAGGAACTGTTTATACCTTGTACATGTTATTATCCAAATTTGATTTCAGAGTCTTGTGTCTTGTCCTTTATATTTATAAAAGACTTCAGTAGCCTTAAAATGAAGGAGGGAAATATTACACATTTCTCATGCTGGTATTGGCTGTATATTCAATGTTTACTTTTCTATTGGTGGGTACACACACACATACATAAATCACTTCCAAAATATTGTTAACATTTTGAGTCAGACACAGTGTGTGTTGTATTATCAAAAATTATACATTAAATGATTTGTGATTAAACAGGCTTTTGTGCTTTGTGATTTCATTTGGAGTGCTGGCTGTCCCTCAAGCCTTTCGATATTTGTTTTTGCTCATTTTTAATGTAGTTATCCCAAAATCAAAAAAAAAAATCTGTAGGAAAAAATATCTTCCTTTAGGCTTTATTGGTTGTGCCATTGGAAAACATTAGTTGGTGGATGGTGTTCATCATTAGCCTAATGTAAAGGAGTCCCTCTGAACTGAAGAAGTCTTCAGGTGTAACAACTAACTTAAGTCCCATTAATTTCAATGAGTTTACTCTACAGGACTAATGTTAGATACCCATCCATTAATATACAGCTAAAAGTACAATCCTATGTACCTTTAGATGGAAAGACTTCTACCATGCTAGTTGTGGGGAAGAGTAGGATGTCTTTCAATTTAAAAATGTGTAAGACTATACCCTACATGGTCTGGGACCATGTATATGAAATCTTCTGCCCCAGAGGAGTCCACCTGAACCTCCTCATCTTCATAAGGGGACACCCTCCTTCACGTCTCCCTCCTCAACTGTATTTTAAAGTTTTGGCAGCTTGCAACTGAAGAGGGCATTCCCCATGCATGGAATGCTCTTCCCAGGGAGACTTCAGAGGTGCTGACTTTCCATCTTCTGTCCGATGTCCAAGCCTTGCAGAACATTGCAGCAGCTGGCATTAAATGGTAATTTTATTGCATAAAACTGCCCTTAGAAAGGTGCTTCATTCTGAGCCACCACTGGTCCATCTCACGCAGCAGTGTCTACAGAATGGCTTTCCAGGGTTTTGGACAGAGGATCCCCCTGGAGATACCATAGACTGAATGGTGAGTACCAATTTTGGTGTAAATCAAAGGAACAAACAGCAAACCTACATGAAAACATTTGCTGCTAAACTGCATCCTTTCTCAAAATGGGCTGGAATAGTTCTACGTTGGTCAAAACTTAGGGGAGAGCCCTAACTTGGTGGTGGAGTACCTGCTTTGCATACAGGAGGTCCTGGGTGCGATCCCCAGCATCTCCAGGTAGGAAAACCTCTTACCTAAAAGCCTGGACAGCCACTGTCCATCACTGCTGACAATGTCGGACTAGCGGGACCATCCAAGGCAGCTCCCTATATTCTTGCAAAAAGGCACGAGAAGCAGGCCATACTGTTTGGGCTGCTGTCTTGCTTTTATAATCATTTCTATGTGTTTTTCATAAACTGAAGCGTGGCATTCAAAGTGTTTCGACTAAGGCAGAACTACAAGTTGAACAATCGAATGTATAAGCAGTCACACCAAATACGCACACATCTGATACTAGTACAGAGCACAGTATACTCTGTACTTCCATGGAAAAATCTTGGGAGTTGTCATCTCAGAGTGTTGAATTCTCAGTAGCAATCCCGGTCCCCTTTTCATAAACAAGGCAATGACTAGTAAACCAGGTTAAGTCTGTGGGACAGATCAAGGATTAACAATTTGTGGCCTTCTGCATGCTATGTCCTACAACTCCCATCAGCCCCAGCCAGCACAGAGGTAGTGCAGGCTGATGGAAGCTGGAGGCCAAAACATCCAGAGGACACAAGTCCATGCAGCAAATATACCTTTAATCGAACACCTGGAGGTACAGCTCTCAGCTACGTTAGACTGAAGTATGTAACATCACCACAAACGCTGCATAGCCATGTCAGACACACAGTGATAATTTAAAACAGCCGGATATTTTATTATGTTGCACTTGACTAATTACAAGGAGGGCAAAAAATCAAACTATTTTAAAATAAAGAGCATACCACAGATACAAATGTACAGCTCCACATACACTTGACAAAGTTTGACTGAATTCAGCACACTTGACAGATAAATAACAAAATATTCCAAACAAAATTTAAAATTCAGCACTGGCACGTGCACAGAGGGCTGTAACGTCGTACGATGCTAAACACCATGTGGTAGAAACAATAGAAAAACTGCATAGGCAGGAATTCTAGCTTTGCCAGCTCTTAAATTACACTGGGAGTTTGCTCAGTTTGAGGTTTTAAATTGGGTGCACATCATTAATGGTAAAATGGAAGGAAAAATCCCAGAGTATTAAATCCTTAAAAGCATGGGCGTCTGTTTGCTTCCATGAGGCATAAAACAAACATTAATATGCATTATTAGCCGTAGATCGTTCAGACAGTGATATTTCAGTGCCCTGAGAACATCACCCCCCATTAGGACAAGTTGGAAAAGAGGAGAAGCGGCTGAGTAAAACCGCATTCCCATGGATCCTACCACTTGGTTGCGCTGCACTTCTTCATGTCCACCAGAGAGTGCAATGCAGGAAATAGTTGGCAACAACTCCCAGTACTCCCAGCAGTTGAGGCCGTGTTAGCTGGAGCTGACATCCAAAATATCTGAAAGGCTTCCGAGTGGGGAAGGCTGCTCTGTGCCACTGAAGTGAACGGAGAGAGGCTGTGCTCCATGACAGTGGAGATGGTGCCAAAGCTTGCCTTCCCCCCTAAAGTCACAGACTGGAATGGGATCCCAGGGGAAGGGTGTGCATGTGTGTCTGTTGTGTTACAATATTTACAGCCCATTACTCACCAGAAAACCACTTGTGAGGCACTTTACAAGAGTCTAAAAGTATAAGTGAAAACAATCCATAGAAAACAGACATTATAACTAAACTTACACGCATTGAAGACAACATAAGAATAGTGAGAATGTCTACTAATCCACAAACATCTGATGGAATAAAAATGTTTTCATCTGTATTTGGAAGGGAACATGGATTTCCCAAGGGAAAGCATTCTAGAATCCCAAGTGTGAAGCACAGCAGTTGCACAATTCTCCCACCACACCTGGTAGTCTTTTTCAACCCATACAGCAACACTGGTTTCCACCACCATTAATGTCTTAACAGAGTTCATTTAGAGTGGGTCCATACAACATGATGGAACCAGGAGTAGCTTCTTGTGCCATCCAAACCCAGCAGCATGGCTTGTTCACCATGCACAAGCCACCATGCACAAGGCACTTCCATAAAAGGAAGGCTCGCCTAACACCCACACCGATCTTTTTGGTGTCCAATCAAGATTTCTCCCAGGTTTTTTTTTAGGCCCAGGATTTTGCCGTTTAGAATTGAGAACAACAGACTACAGGTTGTTAAATGCCTGCCTTTATGGTTGGATGTTTGGTATATACTCTTTTTATTCTCTTGGAACCATGTAATCTGCCCAGATAATTGAATGAACTGCAAATGCAGCAATACAATCAGAACGAATGACGCTCAATCCTGACCAGACAGGAGGGGCTGCAGGTGCCCACTGAATAAGGATGGGGCTGTTTAGCCTGTTCCGGGGGCAGCTGTGCCCCTCATGAAGTCCTGGCACCACATTTTGGGGGTGCCAAATAGATCGATGCTTGTCATTAGAAGTTCAACAGCACCTTTTGGCAGCTGAGACCACATGCCAACTGCAACAGCCCACACACAGAAACTATGGCTATGAACATGTGTATTCATGCTCTGGCAACCTCCAGGTCGGGCTTCTGCACCCTTCCCCAAGTACTGCATGCAGGTCTGCCTCTGGGTTCTACCTCAAACCTGCAGTCCAGCAGAAGGCAAATGCTAGGTTACTAGTTGGGCCAGGATTTTGCTTGGATTCTGTTGTATTTTTACTCTAATTTTAACTTTTGTACATCATAACGTTTCTACTAATAAATCCAAGGCAGATACAACATTTGATTTTTCTCAAAAACTAGGCCTGCAATGGCCCACCCTTCCCATTATGGATGCCACCAGCACCCGGGCATCAATATGGCGCACCAACGCCCAGAAATAAATCTACCCTTTTCAGCAACAGGAACGCACAGTGACGGGAACATCAGGGCAGTAACCACACAGGGATGCTTTTTCCTTCGTCGTTCTTCCTGGACACATTAGAGGGACAGATCCAATCTGCAACCTCATTATAACAACACAACGGTTCCTTCAGTCCTTCCTGTCCCTGAGCTGTACAGTCTGGGGATCTGTGCACTGGCTCCACAGAGGTCTAGTACTGCTTCATGCAGACACACATACTGGGCCCTACGGTTTTCTCGTTTTCCGCCTTCCCTGGATAGCCTTTACTTTGTATCTTCAAGACCATCCCTGGAACCAAAACAAGATTTTTCTGATTATCAGCAGGCTTGTGGTAGCCTGTGTGACGGAGGCTCTTGGACCAGGTCCAGGAGTTGAGAGGCAAACATAAATTTTATTCTTTATTTTTTGTTTGCTGCTCTGAGCAGCTTTTTTGGATTGGGAGACTGGCGTATTTAAATAAATACTTACATTAAGAACAACACTGCTTTGCCCCAACCCCAAGAAGCTAGTGAACAGAATGTGACCTGCTGGATGTACACGCGCACACACACACACACGCACAGGATTTGTTCAGGGACCACAGCAGCATCATTAGCACCACAGACAAAAAATACCAGTGAAAATGTTTAAGAGCGTTAATGTTCTCCTCAGTTACATATTCAAAAATCCACATGGCTTTTATGTTCATAATCATGTTTTCCCATCCATCTTCCCCTCCATTCCAAAATTACTAAAGGACATTGTATCAGAAGAGATCCTCACAGCATCAGACCTGCAGCCCCAAGTCTGAGAACACAACTTTGGGCAAATAAAAGAATTAACTTCACAATGCAGGAAACAAAAACATGCCCACATGTTATAAATTATGGGAAAGTGACAGCTTTGGCTTTAAAACAAAGTCACATACTTCCACTTTACAAAAGGGTAGCAGTACGAGGAGTGTAAGCGTTCACTGAAATTGCCCAATTTAACATAAGCTCAGCACTTCTACACAGCCAGCCTGAGAATTAAAAAGATTAACAAGCCTCCTGTGTATTTTGTAAGCTGGCTGAGGTTTTTAATGGAAGTTTACTTTCCAGCACAATTGAATCAGTGTCAAATATACTGAAGTGTTTTAGCTCTATTTATTCCCACCTTATCCATAAGAACTAGAAACCTGGGCTGTCAGCTGAGAAGCCCTCAGAGCTAACACCACTCACTTTTTTGTTTTGGGGGTTTTAAACTGGAATCTCCCGTGCCCTATCAGAAACCCCACTCAAAGGTTATACTTCTCCCATTTAATGAGCAGCAGAAAGTGGTACAATAACTGAATGGAGAAGAAGTCGGCCAGCTGCAAGGTTTCTGTTCTTCTGCAATAACAAAGAAGATTAGAATTGATTTGCCACTCGGCTTATGCCACTGACTTAGGGTAAAAGACCTCCAGTGCAATGCCAAAACTCTCTGCATCAGAGCACACAATTAGATCTGCAGCAAAGGCCACTAGCACTGTGTCAAAGGCATGAGTCCAAGTGGCAACATTCGGTACTGCCCAGTAAGTTTAAAATTCAGCAGACGAGAGGTTAAGAAAAGGAGTGAAGTTAGTCCAGTCTAATCTGCCGGCCAACGGAGCCCTTCTGTTGGTGTAAATGAGGAGCAGCATCTTTTGCGTAAGTTGCTTCTAATATGCCATTTATACCAGTTGGCTACATCGGGCTATTTTTAAAGTGGCCAACTTTGTTTTTGGTGCCATGCATTTAGTGAGCTCTAGTTTTGTGGCAGGGACCCAAAGAGCTACTTCCCAGGAAGTGAAGATTCAGCAAGAACGATAATGACATCTCACGAATGAACTCAGCAGTTTTCAAAAGCGAAGGGAGCTCTCGCCATGTAGCACAAAGCACTGCTATTTCCAGAAACGGAAGCCCAACGTGACCATATAGAACAAGTTGTGTTCCTACTTTTGTTATAATGCAAAAGTGCAAAGGTAGGTATGTGTTATCACCATGGCAAACGATCAGTGCAATTAAGGAAATTTGCTGTGGCAAGGAGGATGTAGGCAAGCTGCCACTGACGTCAGAATGCCTGTGAGTTGATGCACGAGCTCTTGGGTGCCTTCTGGACTGCAGTCCTGGTGTTTGTACATCCCAAAAGGCAAGACCTGAAACACTGATGAAGGCATTGCACTTCAAAAACCAAACTCTAATTCACACTAAAACCACAACCTCCAGTTTTGGGCACAGGACAGGTCCAGGTCTCCTGAAATGTACAGGTACCCAACAGGTCATCACAGAAAGACAGTAACCCTAATATTAACTCCTTTTGTGAAGTGCAATAAAACAGCGATTTTCCTGTATTTCCAAAGCCTGGCATACACAGGTCGCTTTTTACCAAATCGTCAATGAATGGTAACACGATACCCCCAGACAGAGCCATCAACCACCAGACAGTCATGGATGGTTTATAACTGAATGTCAGTGTCATCAACAATCGGCATCTAAGATGCCACTCTAAAAAAAAGCTCACCAGGAAGAGTAGACAAGGCATACGTGTTTTTTACACTGCAAGCCACATTAATGGAGTAATTCAAGTAAGAAGCCGATCCTATGATTAAGCTCTTGCGACCCTATGTAAGTACGTAACTGCAAGTATGCATCTTGCATGATGTGTCTCGCTCAAACGTCCCTGTTTTTAGTCCTGTGACAGCGGCTAACTTATCCTGAGCATGGAGCACAGGGCGCAAGCTCCTAAGTACAACTGCCACATTCCATCCAAACCTCTGTAGACCTTAATCCTATGCAACTCGCCTCTTGACAAGAGCTGGCTTTGGTAAAACCCTGCATAAAATCACACATATCCATCTTGGCATTGAGAAACTGAAAGAGGCACTGTTATTACTCAGGATTCTTCCATCACCTTCTGACACTGGTAAAGTAAACAGTCCGGAAGGGCAGAACAAGATGATCTGAACCACAACGCCAGCATCCCAGCATGGATACGACAATGCAGTAAACAGGGAACTGAAGGAAGCAGTCGGCAAGATGCGACCCCTTCATTACCTAAAAGAGGAGGAAGTTGGTTTCCTTAAAAATCATTGTGTGAAAGATGCGATATATTTTCACATATCATTCTCCCCTAAGCATTGCTGGTAATTCTTTCTTACTGAAGGACTGTATTTAGTCTCAGATTCACACCCGAACTTTGTAAACCTGAACCTTTCTAATACCTAGAACAATGCTTTTCTCCAGAACCTTAAAAACCAACAGCACAAAACATGGTTAGGGAAAGGTATCCTGCAACAGGTAAGGTTCACTGGAAGCCATCACAGTAGGGCCCAGGTGTATTTGAGACATTCTGGGCATTGACAACCTTGGCTGAATCTGGGAAAGGGGCAGATGGATCCAGCACTGATGAATAAAGAGATCACCTCTGCCCTCTCTAAGCAAAGTCCTGTCTATGAGAAATGCCCTGCAACACTCACGCTTCTCTGTCCAAAGCAGGGTGTGAAGGCTTATTTGCAATACTGCCTTTTGCAAATAATAATAATAATAATAATAATAATAATAATAATAATAATTGGAATGGGCTACAGACTAACTGGAAACCACAAAATGTTTGTCACCCAGGTGATAAAGTTCAAGCCCATCTTCAGAAAGTCAACGGTGCTGCAGAGTTTATCAAAGTGGTCCTTGTCACCCCGCAAAATCGCTTTTGGGTGAGCAGCAAGGGTGGACCCTGGCTGTACTTCATCTACTGTACTTCACATTACTTGTTTGAAGCGAAGGGTGAGCACCAAGCAGATGATTCAATTTGGACCCTGCTTTAAAAAGTGGATCAATTCAGATGAGGCCACTTCTTCAGCTGGGGTCAAAATAAGAAACTCAGTTTGGAAAACCCATATTTCCTTCTTGATTACAACAGGGAAAATCGCCAAACAGCTATAACTACTTCTGTATCTCTTTTGGGTTTTCCCCCTTTACTTTTTATATAATCAGATGCAATGTGTAGGCTGTGAAGTCTCACTCTGGGTGGATGAAATCTGTCAAATTTCAGACAAGTAAGTGCAGTGGGGGTGGAATATTTCCCTTTTTTAAAAAAGGGGGAATTCACTCTATCTTCATTTTTTGGCACAACAGTTGCCAGATAGAATGAATCGTATCAAATTTTAGAGAGAAAAGCACAGGGAGTGTATTCAACAACCACCTTTATGTGCTGGGGATGTTAAACAGAATGTCTTCCCCTGTTTTATGGGCGATATATATAAAAACAGCTCACACGGTAGACGTGCAGACACTGGGACTGAATAAGAAAGCAAAACAATCTCAGGCTGTACTTTCACTTACTGTTCAGCTGACACTGAGTCTAAATCCCCCCCAAAATGCACTATGATTCAAAATTAAAAGGAGAGCTCTGATAACATTATTTTCTTATGGGAAGCTATCAGCATCATTCACTAAAGACCTCTTTATTTTCTTTTGAAAGAGATGGGGCGGATACAAGGGAACTGTAACAATTTTTCCAGGTATCTCACCTGTGCCTCTACATCTTTCCAAAGTCCACTGGAAGTTTCAGAAAGGGTCTAATTCTCTTTAGGCTGCTCCAGAGGACACCCACTTCGCTTTGGACAAGACCAGAACCAAATGCAGACCTCTTCTTCAAAACATGTGTTAACCTCTTGTTACAAACTTGGAGTTTTAGGACTAGCAGAAATATCAAACTACTTACCTATAATATCAACAATATGAAGCTTCAGTTTTTTCTGCAACATGTTTAAAACAACGGACACTGATCCCTGAGATGAAGTAATCTTTAGGTTTTGTTTGACATCATTCGAAATGGACAGCCACAATTTTCCGAATTCATCAGTGGTCATTTTCATTGGTCTGAATGTGATATTGCCGACACAATTAAAAAGAAAAAAAATTAATTATTTTAGCTACAGGCACAAAGCTTTTCTTTCTGGAACAGCTTTCAAGTATACACAAATTTTTCCAGCACCATAAAAGGGTCATGCTAAACAAGATTCCATTATAAATGGAAACAGGGGTGTTCATAAATAAAAACAGGAATAAATAAAACAGCCACAAAATCTCGAATTGGGCCTCTAAAACACTGGAAAGAAAAGAAAGGTCTTTACATGGCACAAAGAAAAAAACCACCCATGCCAGGCAAGCCTCTTCAGGGAGTTAATTCCAATCCCTCACTGAGAAGGCTCTTTCTTTCTAGCCATCCATCTTGTTTCCTTCAGCCAGGCCAGGTGCCCTACATGCAGGAAGGCTGTATCTTACTGCAATAGCAAAAATGCGGAAAGGCAGCCTTCAAGCCAGCATTTATTTTCAAAGGACATTCACACATGACAAACCCCTTTGGTAGTTTTCAAATAATAAATTTTGGGAAGCAAACCATGAGGGACTGGGGAAGGAGAAAGTGCATGCATGCATAGGTACAAGAAAGATTTACCTAGGGTCACAGGTTAAGGAAGAAAGCAAGTGCATTCACACAGATGCTTGGCTGCACTCCCTAGCTCCTAGCAAGTTAATTGAAAGAGTTACCTGATAAAATCCAATAAGCCTAAAGTTACAGAAAATCTGAGGTGTGTATCTGATTCTAGATGGTAACTGATGGAACCAGAGGCTGTTCCTGATGAGCAGAGTTCCTCCATTACTGCAGACATCTGGCAGCTTTCTATGCTCTGGGCTTCTATTACAGCAAAATGGCACCCAGGACATTCAGAGATCTACAAAATAAAGGAAGACCATACCAGTGTTTTGTATTACCATTTCAAAAGGAAAGAATCGGTGATAAAACTGTAATTGTTCTTACCTTAAGATGTTCCGTGTGTTCCAATTTCAAATTTACATCTTTAAGTATGGAAGTGCTTCGATTGACAAGAAATAAAACAAGTAGGACACAATCATCTTTCCAGACTTTAGAAAAATACAAAGACAGAGTTTCATTCCCACAAAGTTCTAAGATTTCTGAATGTGGATGTTTGGCTACATCTTCTGGCAAGTAAGGCATCAAAGGGGGTTGATTGTGGACTATAGCCTGAGCACTTGGAGAAGGATGAAAAATGTCCATATTACCATCTGCAAATAAAGAAGATGGCGAAAGTCTATGACCCAAAAGCTTGTCATTCAGTCCACCTTCCGGAAGAGAAGGAGATCTATCCAACACTACCTTCGATTCAGAATGTTCAGCTGAACTCAGCGAACCTTTCCTTAAATGTAAGTGCCCATTGTTTTGGAAAGGCTCATTGTTCCTTGATAATGCTTCGGGACCCGCAGAAGGGCTAGCCGTGCTTTGGCTGCTGACTGCTCCCTCATTATTTTGTGTTTCCTTTGTTTTTGATTTTCTTGTGAACTTCTGAGTTGTGGAGTCTCCTTTGCCCATCTTTACAACAGAAAAACAAGACAAATACAAAAAACTTACTTTATAATGTGAAGTCTGAGTAGAGCTAATTGTTTGAAGGCGTGAGCTTTCGACCTTTTCATGGTCAAGACCTTCCTTTAGCCTCTACCTGTGACATGAGGCCCACTTGGTACTTTCACTTTTTACCAGTGTCCAGTTTTCTCCTGCATTTTATTCTGCTCTCTCCTCCCACTCTTTTTTATTCCAGTTTTCCTCTCCCTACCCTTTGATTTAAAAGAACTGATCATGGGTCTTAGGCTATTAGCTTAAAAAAAGAAGACGACAGCTGTTTTAACCCCAGGGGTCTGGTCCAGTCATGTCACTTCACATTAGATTTGAGGATGCTTAGGAAGAAATGTGTCAAAATGATACACAGGTCATCGAATACAATGATGAAGGATGGATGCAGAGTGACAAGCAAGCAAAAGAAAGCTCAACTCCACCTCCATCGGTGCCCGTACTAGTTTCCCGCAATAGGCCAGGGGATATTCCATGGGTCTCCAAAGTTGTCTGGGCAAGCAACATGTCAGGCCCCTCACCAGGCCAAGAGAAAGAGGCAATGCCTCTTGCCACGTGATGGTTCCTCTCTCCCGCTACTGCCAAGTCTGCCCATATGCACCCTTTCCAGGCAGAAAAGCCCCTTCAGTAAGGCAAACAGCTTTCTTCTCACAGCAAAGCTGGCCCTCACCTTCTGAATAACTGGGGAAAGCAATGCCAAGGCGATTAACTCTGGTGCTCTTCCTAACAGGCTTAAGGTTCTAAGGCCTTGCCATGGCATCAAGACACCATCCTGGCTTTTGGGCACCGGGAGAGTTCATTACACTATCTGATAAACATTAATAAATTTACCAGTCTTCTAACGGGGCCCATGCAATACAGTAGAATCCATGGTTTTGGAAGGGCTCAGTGAGGATGCATGTGGAATCAGGGTACACTAACTTACTCCACAAGTCTGAAAGGAGATGCAACTCACATTCTGAGCTCTGTGCCATTTGCCTGGCTAACACAGGAAGCTGCGCTATATTAGGTCAGAACTGTGGTCCCTCTAGCCCAGTACTGTCAAGCACTGACTGGCAGCAGCTCTCCAGGGTTTCAATCAGGAATTTTTCCAATCCTACCTGGAGAAGCTGGGGATTGAACCTGGGACCTTGCACATGTCAGAAAGACCAATATGATGATGTAATTGTACCCCTTTTAGCTATGAATCATATATTAAGACAACAACCAATGGTAAAGGGAAGAAGGAAATACTTGACTCATGTTTCCATTCCTTGCAGACAAGAGGTTCCCAAAATGTAGGTGGGAAAAGACCAAGAGACTCATGGGACCTGCATCAACACTTCTAGCAGGAGAAACTCCATACACAAGACAAGAATCCAAAGCATGCCTTTAGACAAGCGCAGTGGCTTGCACTCCTCACAAAACAGTTGGACACTTTTCCTGTTGAACAGCTGACTCCTGCGATTAACTGCAAACTGTTTTGCAACCCCACTCAGTTTCAGAATTGCTTTTCTGTGTTGGCTGGGGAACGGATTCCAAGAACCAAAAAGCAGTGTGGGTGTCCCATTATGTACACCAAAGAAAGTACACGGGGCTTTAGTACTGGATTCTACATCATTCAGGGATGTACCAGACAGTTAGCAGCGGGTTCAGAACACATATTTGGAAACCGCAACTTTGGGAGATGTTCTCAAAGTTACTGTAAGTTTGCTATAGCCACTATTTGCTGTCCTACCAGACTGACACTGCCTTGGGAGCCCAGGCCAACGAAGAGTGTTGAAGCGAGCTGCTGCTTTTCTTTCTCTTCCTCTGACAGACCAGTAATTTCCTGCTCGGACTGTGGTGGATAATGAGCAACAAGACGCTCCATCGGTTTGACACTCTCTTCTTTTTCTACTTGGCTTTCCTTTTGAGGGAGGTAGCCTTCTTTTCCCCATAATTTCTTCACGCCGTCAAGCTTCAGACTGTTGGTCCTAAAGAATGTGTAATTAGGAGAGGTCAGCAAAGAGACCAGGAGAAGCCCATCAAAATGCTTCTGGAAGGCCTGCCTCCCCTTGTACCGACCTGAAGAAGCCAGGTTTACTGGCAAACCAAATTGAGGACAAGCCCTATCAGGCTTGCATTTAAATAACTTACCTGAAAGTCACAGGCAATAAGGCATTGTGGGGAAGGTGAGCTAATGGGATGGTGGACAATGGATTGATTTCTCCATCCTTGCTCCACCAGGTCAGCCAGTTTTCGTGGATGCCAGAGGATAGGTCACTCATCCTTCAGCTCCATTCCTTCTTGGCCAGGCTACTTTATAAAAGGCCTTCAATTTTTTTTCCTGCTGACTCTATTAGCATCCTGTATTTCCCTGCTGGCTGGGAAGAAGGGGGCTCCCCTCCTCCAGCAAGAGGAAAGACAGGATACCTGCAGACAAGTAAAAAAAAAATCTGCAGGCTACTAACTTTTGTGGGCTTACTTCCAAGGATTAGCCACACAGAGAGACTAATGAAGTTGGGGCAAACAGGGGTCGTACGGGCTGGCAAAATAAATGGCATGGTGGGGGAGGCTAATTCATTCTTCTCCTCAGCACTACAGCCCCAAACTAATTCAGACCCCACGGCTGTTTTTAAGTAAAAACTGTTTGGAAATCTCAATGACTGGAATTAGGCAGGTTATAAAGTACTACTACTTACTACTACAAATCAAATCACAGAAAGAAATTGCTTTCTGCAGAGCCAATATTCTCCTAGCAAGTTAAGGCCAACTTGATAAAAGAATCAAGATACTCACTCCTTTTGTCCTGTCTCAGCACTACTAGCAGAGATGTCAGAACCCAGAGAAAGTCCAGTTGGAGACTGTCTGCCAGGAAAACCAGATGCTGAGTAGCTCTGGGAAAGTGAGAGCCCGTATGGTTCAAAATTCAAAGCTGCAAAGAATGAAAAACAGCACGTAAAAGGCAAAAATACTTCATGAGAGGCAGATTGTTGTATCTGCCACAAATAAGTTCCAACAAGAATGTTTTACCATCTGGTACGGACACCAAGAATTCGTGGGGTGGCATTGTTTAGAAACAACACACTTTGCATTTATAAGAGATCGTCTATCCTGAAAGAATCCTGCAAAAGCAATATTCACCCTAGAATATTGGCCACAGAAATCCCATTACAACTGCATTTAACCAAAGCATCTTTATTCCATGACTACACGCCCCACTGTGAATGTAATAAACCGTACAACATAATGAAATCTGTAATTCATTGCTCACCATGAACCACAGTCATATCTGGATTTACATACACAGAAATATGGCACAACATTTGTTTTTTTGTAATGCAAAGTATAATTTTATATTTTATTTTAATTATATAAGCACAATTTTCCAGTGCGGCTGTCCCACCAGTCACCAAAGCTTTCCTATCCCATTCTTTCATGGGAATCACAGACCCTTCATATGGAGAGTCAGAAAAAACGGACACATGACACATAAGGCCGCTTGAAGAAGTTGACTGGAGGCTTGGAAGTAACAGGCCAAAATGATCAGGACAGTTCACCTGAGGATGATTCAGTTTGCTGCTTCCACCACCAAGCAATGAGGCACAACTGCTACAAAAGCACTGGAAGAGTGGGGTTTTTTTTGACTAGGGACACCATCCGATGTATAATATTCTTGCCCCGAGCCTACATCAAATATTCTGCTTAGGAAAAGTGAACATGCAATCACCTTTTTCCTGAGACAATTTCTCCTCCTGCCGCTGGTGATGAGGTTTATACGGTGCTGCACCGCGGTCCAGCCCTTCAGCTACAAACCCATCTAAGAAGGATAAGGAAGCATCGACCTATATTGAATTAAGAGCGACAGGTTAAAAAGTTATTCAGTTATAAACCCCTCGAGGAAATACCACTGCCACCTTAGGAAGCTAGCCTCTGGCTATCTAACAACCCTACACCTGCTTTGTCATACATCCTGTGGAAGTTTCTACCCAATATCCATATCAAATCGATCCGAGTATATTTTAAAACAAAATTGCTAGCAACCAGACGTGAATGGCCCCAGTTAAATATACACTTTGTGAGAACAGTGCCCAATTTTTCAGACCCACCGTTTTCTTTCTAGAGCACTTTAGATTCAACTCTGCCAGAGGAAGGCTTCTCAGTAAGGTGTAATACTGGCAAGTAACACATTCGAGAACCATCTGATGTGACTGCCTGTAACCCTCCAAACACGGAGGTTTTCCCACATCCAATGAACAGGAAGAGGAACAGAGACTAGAGTTGCCTCCACACTTCCCTCGCCTTCCAAAACACTTTGATGGCTGATTTTGGCCAACTAATTCCGTTGCCCCGTTCACCTGGAAGTGTAGTTGAGAGACGCTTGCAATTCCTCGCATCTTGGAAAAGCCTCACCCTCTAGCAAACCATGGGGCTGCGCTCATTATTTAATTGCTTTTAACTGCCTGCTAACAACTAGATGTTTCTGAAAAGTGTTTTTTTTTTTCCCTTGCCAACCTCAATAGTCTAAAACAGTTCAAGTGAAACTGAGCAACCCTGGCACATTTCCTGCTAGGCGTGCTGCGCAAAATTGCACATTCAGGACATGAGCTTCTGACAGTCTGCAGAGTTAAGCAGAATCCCCTGGTAAGACTCTAGTTCGCACTGTGTGTCCTCACAAAAAAGCCAAGTGCATTAACACTGGAGAACAGTTCTACTTTTCAATAAGGGAATACATTGCCTCCAAATTTTGGGAGGATGATGGAAGCCATGAATAAGATCCAGGTAAACTGTCTACTACATATATTTTACTTCCACAGGTCCAAGATTTAAAAACACAAGCACTTATTTCTCTAGTGTGCTTTGAAGAAATATTCAATTTCCAAGGACCATGCAGGGATGCACACAGAAATGATACCACTAACTCACCGCTAAGTCCTCACAGCTCGCATCAACTGGAAACAACTTCTTCATCAATTCTTTATCTTCATATAGATGCTTTAATTCAAATGCATGCTGCCTCATGCATGTGTCCAAGGAATTACCAAATTCCACAATGAGTTCATCAATTGTTTTTGAAACTGTGGTTCGAGGAGCTATTTTCATCACAGCAGCCATAATCCAGACTTTGGTTTCGGAAGTAGCATTCTTTGTAAGTATCCTATGCAAACTTGCCAAGAAAACTTCTGGATCTGTGTTTTTCATGAGATAGCTGTACTCCCCCAACACCTGTCAAACAAAAATTCAACATGGTCAATCTATAAAGGACAAATGGAAAATAAATCTGGACACATTTCTGTCTTTCCATTTATGGAAGACAAAAAATTAACAGATTCAAAATTGTCAGATGAAAAATAGAGTGGTCTAGAAAAAGCCACTGAGATGCAATATGATTTTAAGAGCAAAAGATCGGCACAGATAACAATGTACACATAAACAAGGAGCTAATCTCTGATCTTTCAAATTCCAAGAAATCTGCAGTGCATATAAATATAATGAACACATTCCCATTGAGAACCTTCTAGGAGTAACTCTCAAAATTTTTGTAAAGTAAGCTGAAGTATTATTTAGAAGACTTAACTGATCTCATTTGTCATACGAATCAAACTCAGAAATTTGTCTGGCAAAAACCAAAGAAATCTACTGAAAATCCACAAACAACATGTGGCTACATGGAAAACAGATTTTTAAAAAGGAAACTACAACAGTCTACTTGTGGCATGTAATATATATAATTTGCATTTTATTCTTATGAATCATGCAAATATCAAACTCTGGTTTCCACATGTGAAAGAACCAAGCCAGTCCTCCAGTCCCTGAAAAAACTGGATAGATAACTCTGAAGATGCAAAATATAATGGCCTTGGCCTTGTTTTTGTTTCTACCATCATTTTGTACCTTGTCATTAAACTATGTTGGTAAATTTTAATGCCTTGTTTTAACAGTGTGATGGCAACCATAAGTACTGCCTCTGATGAAAACCCAAGGTTCTTAGAAAAACACACAAGATATGAAAAGTAGGCAGCCCACACAATTGAGTGGATTACTCCTCACCCGATTAAAAACAGGACAATTTAATACTGAAACAATTCTTCCTAAAGCAGTCTGCACTAGTAAAATGCCAACACAAGCATAATTTTATCAATAAAATCAATTTGATTTCAAACTTAGTCTGACTTCCACCCTCAAGCATGCGGATGCTGAAACACATGTTAAACTGACATTCATTTTGTACGAACAACTATTTCTCATATTTGTTTTCCTTAAAAAGTCATCATGTTCAAAATTCAATTGCCTATGTTGTACCTAGAGCTTGTCTGTGCTGGAGAATTCTTGTATCTCTTTTTAATCTGTGTCTTTCTTACCCAACTCATCACTTGAAGAAATTTCTGTGGAAAAACTGCATTTTCATCCTCTAGCAACCTGAGGTAAGATTGGACAGCGTGAAGCCGCAGCTGGCTGTCTTCCTGTGAATCTTCAAAACCTAGGAAAGACGTGCATCATTGTTCTTCCTTTCCTCTAACTGTATGATGTGGGTTTTTAAAAGAACTATTTTTAAAAATGACATTCGTAAGTACTCATCACTAGGTGACATGTGTTTTGCTCACCTTCAGCAAGGAGTCGTAAGAAATTATTTGGGATATCTGGATGCATTTTATCTCCTCCTATGGAAAATACTGCATTCATTGTCTGGATGAACCATTCATTGTCAGGAGCATACGTGCCAGAAACATTAAAGAAAAGTACTTGGACAATCCAACTGTGCTCTCTTGCAGATTCAGCATCATTACATTAAAGATGTTAGCAGACTTATAAGGGAAATGGCTGCTAAAATTATCTTCAGGCAAGATAAATGAAGGCCAAGCAAATACACACAGCATTGTGGGTCACCACAATTCCCATCCATTTCAGATCTCATGAAAGTAAGATCGAAGACATCCCCACGCTTGTTATCCCATTACAATTTCTTTGTTATGGGAACTGAAACAGAACTTGATCTGCCCTTATCCTTTTCTGTCTAAATCCACAATCTGCTCAAGATGAAAAAGAGCTGAAGGGTTGAGGGAAACAATCAACAGGCACAGACTCAGTGTTACTTTCTCTCTAAAGGAGAGAAAAACATAGGGAGGTTACTGAGCGCAAGTTTAATACTGGTCAATTATGAGCTTGCTGAGCTGAGGTCCAGCATCTTGGCCCCATTAAGTACTTCTGGTGGGCAATCCCATTATTATACTATATGCAACTCGCTTATAGCAAGTGCCAAACTTATCTACTAAATTAAGTCCCTTATCTGCTAAAGTCCCTGAACATACCTCGCAGTGCTAAAAGTTCAGATCTGAGAAAACATGTCTTGATAACAAAAGAAATTTCTTTCTCTTTCTCTTCCCCCCCCCCCCCCCCACACACACACACATACACAGAGTTACTAATTTTTCAAAACAAGGTAATTTTGATGATTTTACCAGCATTCATATTTTATATTCTATTTTACTATTTACCAACTGGTGTACACCACCTGGAAAGCTTAGGCTATTGGGCCGTACAGAAATAAAACTAATAAAAATAAAACATATACTAGTTATGGATAGCAGTTTTTCACAATGTTCCCAGCATCACCTTCCCAAAGGCTACGAATGCAAGTATCTGATCATGTACAATGCCAAGAAGTACTTCAGTAATATTTAAAACAAACAAAAGGATATTTTTCTGCTAATTCTGCTACTTTCCCAACTATGTTGATGATAGTATATTCCTCTTTGCTTTCAGTTAGGTAGTCAAGCATCTTGTGAACAATAACAGTGACATTCTGTCCATTGGTGATCCTATACAGAAGTTCCAGTGTCTGAAGGAAAGGGCAGGATGAATCGATGTTTATATGCAAAGCGAAGAAAAGCAAAAGGATCTTCAGCAGGCTGCAAGGTTGCAATTGCAAGAGCTATACACTCAATACAAAATGCCAACTGCATAAAGACATCGTGTATCTTAAGATATATGGCGATTTAAGAATAAGTTGCACGAGCTAAGAATCTATCTTAATTCTCTCTCAGTTACAGAAATGCGGTTTCAGATGTATTCACGCATTCCCAGGACTGCTATATCACTTCATATCTAAGCAGAATCCGGAGTGGTGAACAGTTCTATAGCTAACGTAGACAATGGCATACTTTTTCTAAAAAGCGTCGAGCCAAGAAATCTAAGCACACTGAAAAATGCTTATCTGGAAAAGTTAAAATCAAGGAGTTTATGATGAAGAGCCATCTGTACGGTCCCAGACTGTGTATGAGGCTTATAAATTGTGTACTTGTCTCTATGAAACACACATGGAATACTATACTGTGGCCCAACTCTGTAAGTGCTTCAGTTCACAAGGGTTTCCGTCTTTTTTCCACTGGCTCCCCAAATCCATGCATTCAGGGGTTTTTTTTATTTGGCAAAGAGATTGGATGTTTATACTGAATTAAAGAGATACACATACTTTGGACAAATTCTCCTACGGCTTTAATTCGTGCCTCAAACCAAACTAATGTCCTTCAGTTTTCATAGCCTGCAACTTTAACAACATAATTCTCTGATTAAAAAACTGTGTCCAAAAATGGATTATTATTACTACACTGGAGAAAACAGCATACAAAAAAGACATTTACAAGGAAACTGATTGCAGAAAAGGGGGGTTTTCATGCAAACAAGCATGCATGAAGAAACCTACCACAAACTCATGTAGAAATAAAAGGAAGTGCATTTGTGTTTGATCAACTGTAAATGCTACAGAAATTGAAACAGACAGAACTGCCCACCCCTACTCTGCACAAATGCATGAATACTTATCTGGATGACTGTGTTATTTATTGTTACCAAGGTAAGTCTACATATACCTGTTTGGAATTGGCAGCCTGATACCTTTCCAATTTTCTGTAACAATAAACTGCATCAGCTCTAGCCAACAAGGGACTGTGGGAGTTGATATGCCAAAGGATCTGCAGAACACTGAGTAACCTAAATAGGGGCAGCAATATCTTTAAACACTGTATCTATAATCTCTCTCAAATCCAGCATGCCACATTCTCAGAGTGCAATATCACCTGGAAAAATATTTACAAAGTGCAATATTGCACAGAAAAAAAATAATGCATGTGAAAAAATATTTATTTGATGTTAGGGCTTGAATTTCTGAGCTGCCCTTAACATTCCACTTACCTCTCTTTTAATAATGGGATCAGGATGATCCAGGCACTCAATAATTGTCATTTGGTGTTGCAATGCAAGGTTGGGATCCTGCTGGACAACATACGTTAGGGCCTTTAATCCTGGAAAGAAAAGTTACTGAAAAGTTTGCAAGCTGAAATCACAAGACATCCAGCATCAAATGTACTGGGCTATGATCGTCAAAGAACTTACCCAAATACTTCAAATTAATTTTAGGCGACAGGACAAATTTTCCAATACACTTTGCCGCTTTCTCAAGTAGGTCAGATTTAGGATAAATTGTGTAAATCGTCTGGACACATTCAAACAAGATTGCTATACAAAGACAAAGAAAACTTGTTTAAATGTCACATGAAACCAAACTGACAATATAGAAGCCTTACCTAAGTCCAGCAAGTCTACAGAGGTGTCAGAACGCTAGTATCGTAATAAAGCAGATATGTTAGAGGCTCCCATGCATTTAACAAGCTCCTGCCAGCTAGAAAGAGCAGTGAAGGCACTTTCTACCTCTCCGTCCTCGTTTGAAATGATTTCTCTCTAGACAGACTTCAGAGAGGGCATGCGGGCAGGGACCAAGCCGAGGCTGGACATTGTATCAGATTTCTCATATTCTGACCAGCTGGAATGCCCTCTTTCCCCTTCCTCCCAGGCAGCTTTTGCAACCTTGGAAAACTGTTGGTGTAGTTCTTTCAACAGTGGCAAGCAGGAGGGGACTGGGAGCACAAAGGACCCCTCCTGAGCTCGAGGCAACGTCTAGTCTCAGGAGAGGGGCAGGACTCCTGTGGGGCCTGCAGTGCTCTCTTGGGGACCACTGAATTCCTCTCTCAGTGCCTTTGTCAAGACGCTGTTGACCACATGAGCTTCTAGCACTCTGCATTCCACGGACAGACACACTTACTGCATAAGCCAACACGTTCAAATATAAAGTCTTACATTCTGAAACATGTACAGCTTGGAAGCTGGGCATTCAAAGGCATGACTTTCCCACATGCACCTGCCCATTCGTCACAGTGCCATCAGTGGCTCTTCTCCAAATGCTCCCACCTATGTAAGTTAAATCAGTGGCAACAAAGACCGCTTGTGCAAGTAATTTACTTCGCTGTTGTTGCCAGTCAAAGATCCTTGTCATTTTCCCTGGGCTTTTAAATCACTGACCAAACTGTTTTTAGTTCTGCTGCTGTTTATCATCGCAGCTGTTTGTTTTGGCTCTTGGCCACTTTTTATTATGTTTAGCAATAATGGTTCTAAGGAGAGAATTGTTTTACTGGTGGAACAGAATATAGTAAAATGCACACACGCGGGTGCGGGGTGGGGTGGGGGGGCTACAGAACGAACAAACACTCAACTTTTTCCTTCCAAAGGATGTTGCTATATTTGTATGATACACCTGCTTTTTAAAAACTGATTTTCATCATCAGTCTTTGAATTAGTCCACACCGTAGTGGTAAACCTGAATTTGGGCTGCTCTACTTTAAGCAGTACAATAATCTTCTATTAAAAAACCCCTTCACAGTGCAAAGTGATCCAGGAAATAGGCTTGGCCAGACCACCGCCCCCACCACTTCCTCCCATGCCAGGTCTCTGTGCTGGACTATTACACGGAGGGAGCCATCAGGCAGTCAGGCACTCTCCCAGCTGCAGCCCGGATACAGGCTTACCACCTCAACAAGAACCAGAGCGTTGAAAGGTATTAACACGTAGTTGCTGGAAGTATTTTAGGATAAAGATTTCTTCAACTGCAGTAAATAATTCACACTCGTTACCACATTATATTACTAAATAAGGCTGCAAGTCCAGAAAGCCATACGAATGGCCAGGGGAGAAGCCTGGGGGTGGTCCGTGGTTGGTATCTTGCATGTTTTTACTACTAACAATTGCCCAGAGCCAAGCAAGCTGCTTTTGTGCTTAAAACTGGCTTGTCCATTAAGCCAAATCAGCAGCTGCAAGAGCTTCTTAAATGCCACCTTCACTTGTCTGGCTGCCTCTTCCCCCACTCTTGTATACAGACCCCGGGGACTGCAACTTTCTGCATTCTTCTATGGCATTTCCATTATAGTTAGAAAATATACTCCCACCTACCATATGTAATGTTGTGGTTTATCTCTGCCCGCCTTAGAGATTCATCTAAAACATCATACATTAATTCACTGGTCCTATTGCAAAGTGATAAAAGTATACAAAACAGTTACTTTCTTAAAAAAGATTTAGTCTTAAAACTCAATCCTGCACAGAGTTTTATTCAGTCCAACAGCCTATTATCAGAAGCTTGAGCAATACCTTCATATTTTAGCTATTACTGGAACAACGCAGAGAGAAAATTCGGAAGAGTGCTATCCTATGCATGTTAACTCAGAAGTCCCACTATGTTCAATGAGACTTATGTTTTAGTAATTGTGTTTATGACTGCAGTTCTAGTCTCCCAACTGAAAGACTACCCTTGCTTTCAAAACTTGCCTCATCTCCGAACAGGCTGTATCATTTCTTATTTTCCAAACAAAGGTAAATATACTGTATACATGTGTCTAGCACGCAGCCCTATCAAGGAAGGCTGAAATACCAAAACCCAGCTAAATCACAAATAAAATAATGTTTTGAAATCTATACACATGATATTTTGAAGGCTTCTCAGACAGAAAAGAAGGCTACCATATTTAGCATTAGCAGCACAGACATTTCAGTGGGAAATTCTCCTGTACAAATACCACTGAAACAGAGGGAGAGATACACTAGGTCATTTCATGGGTAACTGTACATAATGATTTGTAATACAAACCTCACATAAATTCCTGTAATTGAGACTGTGGGTAGAGGTACAGCTGCAGAATTTGTATCAAATGGGAATTTAATTCAATGACCAGAAGGAATACCAAAAAACAAAAAAGCATTCCTTTCACCATTCTTACCCTGGCTAGCAGAACAGCTGAGAAACTAGTTATGAAATCAGAGCAAGGGAGACAGGTTGAAAACTGCTCATGAACAGATGGGAAACTTTTCTGACTTCTGTTTCATGGAAATTCTTTAAGGAAACACAAGCATCTGTAAGCCTATTCAAAGTGACGAGACGTTGAAGCAAGGAAGTTTACCTTAGATCATCTTTTCCAAGTAGCCCCAAGATCCTTAAAAGCTGAATTTGTAACCAAGGTGCTGGAACACTGTGATAGTTGAAGTCTACCGGGAGTTTTCCTCCCACCACCTGCTTTAGAATCGCTACAAAGCTGCCTGTCAAATCCTTGTATCTAGAGGAGTCTTCCTAGACAAAAGAGAAAATGTGCAATTAAGACATTTTAAACAAGACACTGCAAACAATGCATTCATGTTTCAGTTCCTCCATTATACACCTTTGTCCTTTCCATCTTAATGTTACAATGCTCTCCCTGATTTTCAAACTCACATACAACCGACAATTAAACACAAAATATACAAATGAAACTCAGAACACTGAGCGACGCATCAGAATCACAGAAAAACTGGCTGTGAGGAGGTAAAGTTATAGGGTAGAAATACTGCATTGAGAATACACCATCAGCACAAGTCTGGTTTCAATTCTGAGGCAGCTCAGTTCACACAACCATCCCAACTGTTAAGACTTCTCACCTTCACCATTTGGAGGTAAATGTGCAATGAAGCAGCCATAACTCCCGCATCCCTGTCACATAGCGCTTTCCGAAACTTGTCATGGATGTGCTGCACTTGGTTGGGGGCAATAAGATAGAACTTGTACAATGTCTGGACAGCTTTTCTTCTAATAATTTCCCTTAAAAAAGAAAACATTTTGTTCACCTTAACAAGCCCAATTATTACTGCTGTTGTAACCAAATACACATTGGACTCTGTGTTTACAATAGCTTTGGGAAGGCATCCTCCTGGAGTTTTATAAGCAAAAACATACTTTGAATGCTGAAGCTTGTCTTCTATTAGTGGAAGGACAGCTGGAATCATTTCCCAAGGAAAGATCTGGCTTGCCACCGTAAGGGCCATACACACTTCCATGAGATTCGTGCTCTGCAAATCCTGCCAGAGACATGAATGCAAAGGTGTTTACTTCCCCCTCAACAGATTAACTATGTTTAGCAGACATCATTAATGTTATTTCAAAGAGTCACATTTTTACTTTTATAAGTCAAAACTATGTTAGAATTGAAACAATATACACATGCTGCCATAAAATCGCTTGGCTTTCCTCATATGTTTAAACTATCACAAACTTACTTTCTTTTGTATGTTTCATTTAGGAAAACATTTTTCTACTCTCATAATCTCCCATACCTTATCCATCCATAGGTTATAAACTTGAAAGACCGATGCTTTGGGAAGTAGAGAATAAACAAACAGGAATGTTTGTAAAGAGCGCAGCTAAGCAAACTCATTCAGCAAACAAAAGTGATGTTAAAATAGTGCTATTACTTCTTCCTTCTAAGGTGCAAAGTAGCTTTCAGAAGAATTCAACACTGATCAACAGAGCATTAGAATTAAACACTTGAATGAGCCAGGAGCAATTCTGGTTTGGTTTTTGTTTGCTGTTTTATGAAGATTAAATAAGCAATCAAAAGTGAAATGCCTATAGTATTTGCTCTACAAATCTAAAATTAATGGAGAATAACTCAAGCTTGAAGTCAGTGTGATGCCTGCCTCCAAACCTCCCCCAAAACTGTACCTTCACAACTGTGTTCACAAGCAGAAGCAGTAGCTCATGGCTTTCATGAAGAAATAAGGAAACTGCCAAATAACCTAAAGGAAAGGAAAAATGGTCTCTGTTATACATCCTAAATTCTTTGTATGTCATGCATTTGATTCCTGTCTCACTCTATAATAGCGTCCTACAATCTAGCATCCTCCAAATATGGCCATGGTGGCTGGGGATGATGGGAGTTGCAGGCAAACACATCTGAGAGCACCAAGTTCCAGAGAAGTTTACAGCACTTTTCCAAAACACCTGTCCTGGGAAGATTTTGGTGATAGCAGGGCAATATAATTTTAAATACTTTGCTGACATAAAAATCAATGCTTAATCTTGTGGCTATATAGAACCTCTTGATTCAGAGGCAGTGGGCACCATTGCCTGTTGGAGGGAAGCAATGGCAGAGACGGAAGCGTTGACTTCTTAACATTCCTGGCCAGATCACAACAATGCTTTCCCATGGTACAAACACACCCAAACCTACATGCGAGCTTTTTTGAGCAATATAGTGAAAAAGCTTACCGACTCTTTTCTCAAAAAGATTTCCTTGCTGTGCTAGTTTGATAGCATGGATGTATCCAAATGATGCCTCATAGCCCAGCATCTCACAATAGATGAGTCGCACCATACATTCCTTCATCAATCTCTAAAATACAGGACATGGAAATTATCAATATGTTGTATGGGTGGAAAGACAGACAGACAGACAGACAGACAGAGGATTATCAAATTCTTATTCCAACGATATAAATCATGTGAAAAGAAACACACAGAACCAAGGATTTCAGTTTGGGAGTGCAACTCTAAGAAATTCCAGTATATGATTAGCATGTTATGCATGGCAACAATAACAGAATAACTCTTAGAGGAACATAGTAACTACTAGCCATTGCTGGTAGAAACAGTACCATTTCTTTGGCATGTTTTTGAATCATGAGGAGCAGCTCCCTCTTCAGTCCTGTTGTAACTAAAGTTATAGTTCTGTTAAACTTCTGCCTGTACCCTCACCACCTTCTCAAGTTTTTTTTTTAAGATAACTTTGGGGGCAATCCTATATTGAAGATCCACCATGCACCATATCACATCCCCCTAATCAATGGCCATGTTCTAGCAACCAGGCAACTTCACACCAGATCCTAGAGCTGATGCAAAGAATTCTCTTCCTGCTGCTTTCACATATGATAATTATAATATAAACCATATTGCCAACTACCCCAGCCGTGTCACCATTACAACACAAAAATTATGGTGTAACTCAGCACCCATTCACAGTACACTAACAATATTTAAAGACCTCACAAAGGAAAATGCTCTCCATTTCTACTTGCTGATAATGCTATTTTCTTTTCTCACATTCACAATTCCATCATGCTTTATTCCTTCTTTCCACAATTCAAGTCACTTTCATTGTTGTTCCTTTTTATTTTTGCAAATAAAAAATAAGTTTGCGGTGGGGAATGGTATACAGCAAGTTAAATATGACTTGGTAATATAAATGTTTGAACATCTGCTTACATACAGGACATGCGGAATGGTGTTTATTGTGTTTTTATAGCTTACCAGTGTTGTAGAGGGCGCAGAAACGGTTGCTTTCAAATTGTTTAATTCCTGTTGAATTAATTTTTCTTCCTCCTGATAAAAGAATTTCAAAAAACTCAGTGTCCATATTTAATTTTTAGAGAACGAGATATGAAAAATACATTATTTTATAAAACAGCTAAGGGTTATTCCTAAAATTCCTATCTAGTCAGTCTGATATATCAGAACAGGCTGCAATGGCTTAAATGCTGCTGACAGAAAATGGAATTCTGCACATGTGCAGAGGCACCTTTGCAAATAATGTCCTTCACATTTTCCAGAGCGAGGCCATAGTGCCGGAACACAGACTTGGGGTGGGGAAGAAGGCTGAGCCCTGAATTTGAACCCTTGCATTTATTGTGAAGGCCTGATGCAGCGGGAGGGGGGGGTCATATTTTGGTCCAAGAAAGGGAGAAATCCTGTACACCTCACAGGTACATTTATGACTTCCGTGGCATTTTCCAGGACTCTCCCCTGGCACTGGAAGGCAGACCGGGAGCTGTGCGGCAGGGAGCAGCTCAGTGGGTTCCGGAAAGGAGAATTCTGCACATGCCTAGAGGCCATTTCATCACTCCCTCCTCATTTTTCCAGGGCTTCGCTCCGGCATGGGAAAGCAAAGTGGAGGGCCGGGAAGCGGGCAGCGCCCGGCCGCCGACGCCCGGGACTCTTCCCCAACGGGGCGGCCCAGGGAACCCCGAAGCCGGCCCCACGCGAGGCCGCCACACCCCGCCGGGCCGCCGGCTGCCGGCGGGCACCCCTGCAGGCGGCGGCCCGAGGGCCGCAAGCCCCCGGCCCCGC